TGCTAATTAATGCCTCTACGAAACATGAAGCGGGCGCTAGCGATAGCGGGTACGGCAGGAGTCAGATCATAGAGGACCTCAACTCGCCCTGCAACAAGGCCTCTCCAAACAAGATCCTCGTCTCTACCTATGCCATATGCGGAGTCGCATTAAACCTCCAGCGAGCCAACTACTGCGTCATGATGGAGCCGGCCAGAACGATGGATATGGAGAAGCAGGCGGCCGCGCGGGTCAACCGGCGAGGGCAGGATATGAAGTCTGTAACCGTTATGCTGTACGACGACCGGAACCTTGCCGAGTCGGTCCGGCTGTCGAGGAGGGCTAACCATGAAGAGATGCTGTCGTGGAAGGATGACGAAATACCCTGGGATACATTTGTGTGATGATGTAGGTCATGCGAGGTCGGAGTAGGACAGCTCTCTTGGATGTCTGACAGTTATAGCTTCACTTTGAATTGTTCCTTTCATGGGTCTGTTGTTGACACACCCAAGAGTAATGTGCTCTTTGTGGATCTCCTAGGTCGCGATGGGGCGTGCATGTATGGGGGCTGTGTACGTTCACTGAAGGAATAAGAGGGAATGAGTATATGCTATTTCTTATGTATTTCGTCATTCGCTCCTCGGTTGCTAGTCTTGGGATTTGAGTAAGTAGTGAGATCTGCCAAGTATGTGGCACACTCCTGCTGCTTCTGCACCTGTCCTGTCCTGTCCGAATTTAGCACGATCAGGTCCTCAAATGCTAAATCATCGATGGTTGCATATGCTTCTAAACTCTCTTGTTCCGCGATCTTCGCAGGCTTATGCAACGTCGGCTCCAGAGGCTTAGAAATTGAAGTGCAGTGACGTGTGTCCTTCAAAGCATCTTCCCAATGCTGCAAGCCGTTGCTACGCGCGAGCTGGCTTCACGTTCGGGATATTGCCACGAGTCCTTGATGACAAGGGGCGTCCGCGGGTCTCTGTCGCTGCGGACCTTCCAACAGGTTGTGGCCCGAGAATGAGATGTGTAAAGTCAAGTGGAGGTAGCGAATTGACGCGACGCCAGGGAGCTAGTTTTCGTCCTAAATAAACATGGGGAGCAGGGACAAGGTTAGAGCTGGTTCCAGGGCAACAGAGGACAGTCCATGCTCAGTTTCTAGCGCTACGCGAGCCCCCATGCAGAGTCTTGCCCCTCCAAGAAGATGCAAGGTGATCTACGATGCGCGGTCCCCCGGATAGAGAGCTAAGGTCGGGATAACACGCGTAGTGTTAAAAATTGAGAATTAGTTACTTCCGTGCGCTAAAAGCTCGAAAAAGGAAACACATTAAATCCGAGATTGACGCTTAATCAACATCCCACATGATTGGTCACTTAAATCCCGACTGGCACTTGTATCTGACCCCGCAAGAGCTCATTTTACTTCTGAGTGAGGGGCTCTCGTGTGTATGAGTTAGACGGGTTAATACCACAGTTTGCGGATCTTGCTTGGCCTTAAACAAATCGCCTCAGAAGGCCTCAATTCTTATGGCTGCTATGTATAGGAAGCACTTCACCCCTCTGGAATCTGACCCGTTCATTTTCACTTCTTTGATCCGCTCCCTTGGAGCTCCTTCGTCTCTGGCCTTTGAAGATGTTTATTCCCTAGATAAACCACAAGTTCCCCCACATCCAGCTCTTGCTTTGATTCTTGTATTTCCTACAAGCGAGAAGTGTGAGAAACAGACGATGCTCGAGGACTCAAAGCGAAGTGAATATGTTGATGGTGGAGAGAACGACGATATCATCTGGTTTAAGCAGACCATCAACAATGCATGTGGAAATTATGGGTCAATTATCGTACAAGCCCGCTGTCAGCCACACGAGGATAATGTGAACAAATGGTTGTTCTTTGAGGATAATTCGGAGGAACGGCTGATAAAGGAGAACATGCGCGTCCCAATACTTCATGTGAAGGATTGCAAATAGTACATCATTAGGAGGATCGCCGTTCCAACGGTAGCATGGAAGCTGTTGTTGGTAGGTACGTACGTAAATGAAAAAAAAAAAACAATATAACAAGTAAAGCAAAGTAATGAGGGTGAGACGATGTGTATTATGATGTCTGAGGAAGAAAGGTCTATCTACCTGAGTAGGCAAGAAGGGTAACCTATTTAAAGGAACAACATGCTGACTAAGTAGATCACATGTTCTTCATTATGCAACCATCAGCTGTAATGTCTTCTTGCAATTTTCCAGCATCATCTGAAGCATATCTACCGTCTTGGCACAGGCATCGTCTCGTATCTTGTTCGCCGGGTCGTAGAGAAGGCAATATATCTGGTTCAGCTGTCCACGTAGGTGTATGTGAGCTAGGTAGCTGTCGATGACATCCGACGGAAACCCCCAGCCCTGCGCGACTTTGGCATTCGGGTAAGGTACTAGATCTTGGTATCGTAATAAGCTCGATTGAGGAAGGGGTAGTTCGTCGTGGAGATCACTAGATCGATCTATTGGTGTGGGACGTGGCAACGTCGGGAGAAGCGCCTACCATTCCAGCTGGAAACATATCCAGAATGCAAAAGATAACTCTGTGTCCTCGGAGGATAGCGCACTAGGCTCCAACTTTGAAAGGCGTTCAAGGTGCCTATTTCATAGTTAGTCGGCGTTTAGGGGGTGTACGACGTTGTCGGCTTACGGTCGAGGAATCACCTGCAATATCTGGCTCGCCCAATAGATATATGTCGAGCTTTTTACAACCTGGCCAAGTTGTGCATGGTATAGTCTGGCTAGGATCTGTACCTGTACCTGGATATGGTTCAACGTGAGCCCGGCTATGTGATGTCCTATGATGTCTGTCGCCAGCGCAAAGTAGGCCAGCCCAGGGATTACATTCACATTTCGCTTCTGTGCCGGGTCGTCCAGTCGTACCACGTCCGGTATCTTGCCTCTATGAAGATAATCTCCCCAAGAGCAAGCACAAGCAAGACGAGAGCGCTAGAGATATCTCGAGGGATGCTAGGTTTCC